ATCAAAGATAGGACTTCAAGTGAACATAGATAAAACAGAAGTGATGAAGAATCCTGGCCAACACCAACAGCAACAACAACAGACAACAATCAGCTAGCATAAATGGAAGGAACCTGAAAGAAATGACCTCATTTACCTACCTGGGAAGTATCGTTTCAACTACAGGCGGAACTGACGAGGATATCAAAGCAGCAAGGATCGAGAAAGCAAGACAAGCTTTCATTACTCTCAAGTCTGTGTGGATGTCACCAGCACTATTCACCGTGAAAAATAGGATCCGGATTGTGAACTCAAATGTGAAGTCAGTGCTACTTACCATACGGATCAGAGACTTGGCACGTCATAAAGAGCACCTCCAACAAACTACAGGCCTTCATCAACAGTTGTATTCGCTCAATACTCAAGATCAGATGGCCAGAAAAGATCAGCTACAGGGAGGGATCTCTGGCAATGAGCAAACCAACACAGCAGGAACCAATTGTGCAACGAATAAGCAGGAAGAAATGGAGATGGATTGGCCACATCCTAAGGAAACCATCAAGTGACATCACTAGACAAGCCCTCGAGTGGAACCCGAATGGGAAACGGTGAGTTGGTCGTCCAAGAGTGACTTGGAGGAGGTCATGCGAGGAGGAGATGAAAGCATGTGGGCAGACTTGGAGCGGAGTGAAAAAGTTGGCAGAAAACCGAAGGCAATGGAGGTGCGCACCTGAAGCCCTATGTTCCTCTGGGAACTAAAGGAAATAAAATTATTCATTGCCCATCGCATGTCGCCTTTCTGTAGGTTTCTGTAGGTAACTGAAGTCTTGAAAGCAGTTAAGCTTCTGAAAGTTAGAAAATCAGCTGGACCAGATGGAATATCCTCTGAAGCACTGAAAGCGGACTCAGAGACGTCAGTAGATATGCTGACTCCATTATTGCAAATGTTCTGGAAGGAGGGAAAGGTGCCTACTGACTGGAGGAAAGGTTACCTCGTGAAACTACCAAAGAAGGGCGACTTAGAACTCTGCAAGAACTGGCGAGGAATCATGCTCCTACCGACGCCAAGTAAAATCCTGAGTCTCATCACCCTGGAGACAACAAAGAACGCAATGGATGCATAATTCCGACTAGAACAAGCTGGATCCAGGAAAGGCAAATCATGTTCCAACCAAATTACAACTCTACGTATCATCATCGAACAAAGCATAGAATGGCAATCAAACCTCTACCTCAACTTTATAGACTTTGAGAAGGCCTTAAACAGAGTTGACCGCGAAGTAATCTAGAAACTACTCGAGCACTACGGTGTACCTCAAATATTCATCAACCTTATTCAACAGCTGTATGACAACGGCAAATGTCAAGTGATCCACAACGGAAAACCCAGCAAGGCGTGTAAAGTAAAAAACAGGAGTCAGACAATGGTGCTTATTATCACCAATGATAGTCTTAACTGTGGTGAACTGGATTATGTGTCGGACGGTAGGAAATGAGAAGACAGGGATATCCTGGACTAACGTTAAGAACTTACAAGACCTGGATTTCGCGAGTGGATGATTTATGTTCGAAGTCACACAAAAACGAAGACTTACAAGCGAAAGCCAACAAACTGGTCGAAGAAGCAACCGGCGAAGACAGGACTCCAAGTGAACAAAGACGAGATGGAGGTTATGAAAATAACCAACCGTCAACAAAAACAGCAGCAACATCCAGCGTCAATCACCGTCAACGGGAGTGATTTGAAAGAGGTCACTTCATTCACTTATCTAGGGGGCATTGTCTCAACTACAGGAGGAGCGGACGAGGATGTCAAATCGAGCGAGAATCGGGAAGGTGAGAAACACATTCATCAACCTGAGAACAATCTGGAAATCTTCGTCACTCAGCATCAACAACAAAATCCAGTGGGATTTTCAATACAAACGTCAAGTCAGTCAATTCTTCTATACGGATCAGCAACGTAGCGGGTGGTCACATAGAATATTTTCAACAGCCTGCTGCAAACCTTTATCAATCAACAACTGTCTTCGCTGGCTCTATACTGAATATCAATCGGATGGCTGGGCCAGAAATAATCACCAACAAGACACTATCGGAACAAACAAAGCAAGAGCCAATCACCATGAAAGAGGCTACAGTCAGTTTCTAGGTCATGATGAGTTCCTGCGCCGGCTAGTTATATGTTTTCGTGAATTCGTTTTCCATTGAATTTTAAAGGTTTTTCTGGATGTTTTGCTCATTTTGCAGTGTGTAGGTCAGTTTTTGTCACTGGGTGCTACTATTTAGCTTATTTTTAGCCTGAAGTTCACAGTTATTATGTTGGTAGTCAAAGATTATTGTAAACCTGCAATCATTGAGCTAATTAACGTATACTATGCTAACATAGTAACATAGACTATGATAGTAATAGTAACATTAAACTCCTTTACTGTTTTGCCATTGTTTGACAGTGAAACTGTGCGCTGATTTTTCAGCATGAGTGGCACTAAATCGAACCTACTGGGTCTGCTTATCAACTTTGTTCCAGCCCTCACAGGACATATTAAGCATGGACTAGCGTTACTCCATAGTGGAAAGTTTTGATTCAGCACGCAGCTGTCTTTTTAAGCACGACCTATGTCATTTCAGAACATAGTGGGTAAATATGTTCTTCAGTTACCATAAAAAGGCATTATCGAGGAATAAGTTAGAATAAATTTAGAATTGTTTTAAGCTTGGTGGTGCTGCGGTCTAAGTGATAAATCGTATTAATCACCGTTATTCAGGATATGCTATGAACCGGAAATCCTCAGCTGAAAAACGTATGAATAAGACACAGATCGGTGTAATTTATAACTGACTCCAAATTGCTTTCATCACGAAATAATCAACCAAGGTATGCTTTAAACTGTCGCTCTCAGCCGTTTGAAGGGAAATTTACTTGATTTATGCTGACCTAGTATGCACAAATACCACATGTCATTGAATTGACGACTTAAAAAAGTAGATTAGTTAATACATACATTTATCTATATGTACTAATTAAGGATACATTAAATTTTTAGAAATTGTAGTTAAATTTTATTCGCCTAGTAATCAAAAATGCATACATCCTATTTTGGGCTTAAAATAAATGCATCAAAATTATTGTTGATTTATATTCACTTTCTGGACATTCTCATACATCTCAATATACTTTAAACATCAACAATGCATCCAAATAGCGTGTGACTGTCACACTACACTCACACCAAAAAAATTAACACGCCATTATATTATGGTAAGGTAAGCCCGAAATTTTACTGACTGTAAATTTCCGTGTAAAAATAAAGAGATTGGCGCTTTAATTTATGTTTTAGACCAATAAAAAGCCAGCTAGCCAACAGCCAATAAAAAACTGCCTATATCCATTTTCAATCACCATTCAACAAATATGCAAGAGAAAGTAGAGACGGATTAGACACCCGGTGACGAAGACACCGCTGGGTGACATCGCGTGCTCGTCAGGTCATTGCTCGAGTGTAACCCAACAGAATGGGAAGCGGCGAGTGGGACGTCAGTGCAAGAGTGACATGGAGGAGATCGTGTAAAGAGGAGTTGAAACAGTATGGACTGACATAGATGCAGGTGAACAGTACACCAGAAGACAGAAGTGGCAAGTGGAGACATGCAGTTGAAACCGTATTTTCCATTAGGAACACAAGGGGACAATAAATAAAGTAATAATAGAAAAGATTTGTAACTCAGGTGGATGATTTGCAATTATTAGTGTTCTCTGAGCTGGTTGGTTTAGTTGCGGAGCTTTCGTCGTCTTTCTGGACGACATCTTCAGCGCAGTATTTAGAATAAAGTTAAATGATTTAAAATCTCCATGAATGATGATACAATTGCGTCTCCTCGTGACTAACCATCTTTACATATTTAATGACCGTTTTCTATTGATTGGGATTTTAAACTTTCTAGTCACCTGATTTGCTTTTTATTAGTTGGTATATTTGGTCTATATGTTAACGTGTTTATTAATGGCATTTTCGTTTGAGTACCAGGCTTCTAGGAATTCCCTGACTGCACATTTGGTGTTTCCTCTGTTTAAGATTTTGATATTATCCCAATCAAATTGATGTCTATAATTGTCTGTGTGCATTGATACTAAAGAATTTATATCATGTCTTTTCACGGCTGATTTGTGTTCTTGGATTCTTATTCGAAAGGGACGCCCACTTTGGCCGATGTAATGTTTGTTACAGTTCATACAATTTATTTTGTAAATGGTGTTAATTTTGTCTCCTTTTTCTGTCGGATTTCTTGATTTGCGATTCGGCTGGTTTGTGTTCTACATCTACATCAGACGGTTTCATTATTCTAGCCGTTATTTCAGAGATATTTCTGATATATGGTGGGATGAATTTCTTTTTGGTCTTCGGTGATGGTTCTTTGTTGGTGCTTTGATTCGACTTTAAACACTATTTGATGACATTTTTTGGATAACCATTCTTCTTGAACACCGTTTGTAGGTATTTTTCTTCCATTCTTTTCAACGCAGGAGTGCTACAGTGTGCTTGAACTCTCTTTTAAACAATGTCTGCACACAGTTTCAATTACTCACAAAAGAAACTGTTGAAACCATTGGAAATCAACAGGGAGTACTGGACAGCTGTTTCATCTCAGATTGGGAATCATCGTCAGTAGGCAACCACTGGGGTTCGAACCCTGCACCTTCCGGGTTACAAGGCAAGCTCGTGTACTATTCAGCCACTGGGACCCGGTTCAACTTCAGTACTCCCTGTGGCTGCTTTTCAATGGTTCTCTAACTGATATCAATCAGTGATCAACTCGTAAAAAAAACAAAACTAACCCTTACAAACCAAACTATACAATAATACTTTTAGCTATCGTGTATTTTAGAATCAGTGATTTCAACATTTAAAGTAAAACCTGAGATGCATACTTCAAATTCCAACGACTATCCATATGAGATACTTTACTTTACTTCACTTAAACATTTTTCATCACTAAACTACACAGAGATAGTACCTTTTTATTTGAAGCTTAACAAATTTTAATTGGAATTTAAATTTACCCCGACTTCATGTAGGTTAAATTTAAATAAATTCCTCCAACGTTTAATGTTGCACAACACATCAGCGCTTATTATACATTCTTCACATATTTAACGGTTTACTTGACAATAAACGAAAATCAAAAAACGCAAAGCTTTATTCAAACAAAACTCTTCTTTTTTGTCATAAATTACGGAATATATTTACTGAAAATTGATGTAATCGAAATTATTCTATGCTAGACAAATAAATCAAGTTTCATCCGTACCTAAAAAACAGAAAGAAAGAAAAGGATGCCTGGAATTGACAAGACATTTAGAATAATAGAGAAGATTTTTAAAGTCAGACAGGAGGATGGGAATTGTTAACGATCAAAAATTTTAATACTAAAGATAAGCAATTCTAACTTGAGCTAACTGTTGAACACAATTTAAAAATGGTGTTTAGCTATCTATCATTGTGAGTAAAATTTATTTTGATAAAGTCTCATAGTATTGTTATACAGTAATGTTTACTGATGTCACCACGTTTCGAGCACAATTTATCACTGCTCATAATCACATCAAGGCACTACTTCAACAAAACTTTCTAACTTCGTTTATATAATTCTATCATTATTTTTCATCGCTTCATTTGATGATTTGTAATAGTGGTATTTTCCATATTTCCGATATGAGTGATGAGTCATTCCTAGTGCATGTTTTCGGTGTAGACTCGATGAACCAGCGAAGATTCAGTAATCAATATCTCTATATCTCCACCTACATAGATTACTTTTTAGAATTTTAACCCTCTCACACCATGCCATTGTGTGGTTGTGTGCTAATGCATGCAGTGCAGTGCAATGTTGTGCTGAGCTTTTTATCAAATTACTCATCTTCTCAGGGTCAACCATTATCACCTTAGCTAAAATTCTTATGTTCCGACAATCTGACTACCCCCGACCTACTAATTTCACCTATTTAGTTGACCTAATTTACAGTCATTGCAAGATATTTTGTAAATTATATTATTTCGTTTAATTGGGTCAACTGTTGGGTTCATTTAACCTACAGAGCTTGTCCCTGCCTGAGAGAGTTTGTTGATGTAAATACCACCCTACTTCTTACTTTATTAAGAATCCCACATAGGGAGGATCTCAGATGTCTGCTGCTTGTTTGCTTAAACTACTCTAGATGCCTTATATTCTCTCTCTTGTGTATGCTATCATTATTAGTTTCGCCATTATTTTTATTTTGCTTTTGATCTGATCTTGTCTGATCTTCCTAATGAATTTTATAGGATAGTTAGTTTGTTAAACACCAAAGCTTCTTCTTCTTCTTCTACCTGTTCCATTTCATCATTTAGGTTTTTTGTTGAACTGCGTAAGTGCTACTGCTTGGTTTGTTAGACAGACACTTAACTAAATCCGCCTTCACAGACAGAAAAACGGATGAGATGGATTCAAGTCTAAGTATCTATTAGCGGAATGTGCTGGCTTTTTATAAACACCACTAGTGTACAGTTTACCTTCTTCTATTCTTTTTATGTATTTTTTTTATCGAATTCCTTTAAAACTGAAGAATGAAGGACCTCATAAGGCAGTAGTTTTGTAAAGTCAATTTAAATCTGAAAACAATGACTGATCCTAGAATTCTATTGTTCCCAATTTTGAGAAAGCAGTTAATACATCTACGTTTATACATTCAGGTAACTGGTTATAAAATTCAGTAGAGCCCCACTGAAGAATAAATGCTATTTGAAACCACATATTATCTGAAACACCAGATTAGAAGTGTAGGTGACGAAGAGTGTTAACAGTTGTATGTATATTCAGGTGTTGGTTTGTGGGGATTTAATTACTTATATAATCTCATCATGAGCTGATTTTGGTAAGAGAACCATTGGAAAACCAGTTGGGAGTACTGCCAGGCAGCTGGCTAGTGGTTGGCGTATATGGAGAATAAACAGAAGTTGGAGTTAATGGGAGTCGGGTCCCAGCAGCTTAACTGTCTGTTAGCTCGCTCACCTTGTAACCCGAATGTTCTGGGTTCGAACCCCTACCTGTGGTTTCATTCTCCTGAAGAGTCCAAAATTGGGCTAGCGAAGCAGTTGTCTGACAATCATTTCATCTTATACAATGGTTCTCTAAGCGACATAAGCTCACACTGAGATCCTGTAATCATAAATGCACCTGGTTTGGTCATCTGCAAAACCAAGAAAAACCTGATAGGCATTTATTTTAAAGTGGGTCATAACTTATGCACGCACAACATTTAACGCATTATGTTTTAGGCCTTTTACTGAGTATAACAATGGTGATATACACTAAACATTAAGTGAGCAGTCATGAAACTTACTGTGTAGGTGGATTCTTTTCAAATTATGCGCAGATATGTATTTTCTGAAAGTGAAAATAATAATAGTAGAATGATAACAACAATTACGGTCATGTTATGTCCAACAGTTTGCTGAATTCAAGTTCGCCAAATGAATCTTGATATTTTGAACTATTTGTGAAATACAATAACAGATTTCGACACTAATACCGAATGGATTACTACTCATTTAGCGGATGATTGTAGAGGAGTAAATGGAAATCTATTTAGCCTTGGCTTCCGAACTAGTGACCGACAAATTATAATCTCCACACTCAAATTATATTCAATATTAAAAAATAAAGCTTACTACATTTCATGAGTTCCATAAGTGAAATATCTGTGATCTCACGTGGAATATTTTTTAAACACATATTCAGGTCGGTAGAAATGTTGGGCAGTAGTTATAGTTCCTCTGGCTTGCTAACACTTCTATAACAACGTATAATAACTGTTTGGTGGTGAAGCGTTTTCCATCTGATGTCGTTATTTTTTTCCCTACACGTTCCCAGGTGGAACATAGGGCTTCAAGCTATTGGCTTGAAGTTTATGTAGCAGTGTTAATTTTTACAGGATGGAGTTGCTAGCCCCATGCACAACCTTTCTTTTTTACCAACATTATTTCTGGCTTAGCGAGGTTAAGGAGTGCGTCGGCTGAAGATCGAACACCGGACCATGTGTATGGTGGGCGAGCGACCTAACCGCTATGCCACCGATGTCGTTATGACCATACGTTTAAAAATGCTGAAATGATATTATAGGCACTTTATAGCCTTTGAACTGGGGAAAGAGAAATTTGATGATCTTGGAGAGTCTGTTAACTCGATGCTCAAAATGTTATTAAGCGTTTTCCTTCATGTTTTGAGTTGAAATTTTTATTACAAATTAATGAAAATGACTACTCATGTTGCCTTGACTCAAAATTCATAAAACAGCTTTTGCTATCTATATAATCTAAAGTTGTACTCATAAAGTGGATAGAAGTCATGCAGCATCTCGAAAATACTGTTTTTTTTTCTCAGAGAAGACATGACATTCTGCACTTGTAAAAATAGAAGAGAATTGATCCGCTAGCTATTGTCGAGTCGGGCCTCAGTAGGGCTGAATGGTCTACGATTTCACTCGTCTTGTAACCTTTAACGTCATGGGTTCGAGTACCGATGATTCTCAAGCTTGGCTAAATGAAACATCTGGCTATCCACTAAGTACTGTAGTGTTTGTTTTCACTGTTTCTCTAACTGCTAACAGTCTGTGGTCGAATTTGAAAAAACAAAAACCAACAATTCAAATCCGTACAAACCAACTGTTAAAATGAAGCAAATATATTTTACCTGACAAACTTGTTCAGAAGTTAAATCAGCTAAAGTTTGAATATAGTTGTCAACGAAATACGAACCGATTAGCGAGCACTAATATATGCAAGGGAAGAGAAAAAATCGAAATTAAAATATCAATAGGAAGTGCTTGATGTATCGGTGTTAGTTTCAATCTATAAATGTTTGTGAGTGTTGTTAACCATACCTGATTTGTGTTCAAGACTATCCATACTTGAAATTACAGCTTATAACACGCATATTTCAAAGAAGAATCAATGGAGGGGAATCGATGAGTTTAGGCTTTGTGCTTATTAACGGTTTCAGACAACAAACTGGCGACAGAAGAAGCATCAAAAATCGGACTTCAGGTGAACATAAAGATAACAGAGGTAGGTGATGAAGATTCCTGTCTAACAGCAGCAACAGCAACAACAGCAATAACAGCCAATAATCAGAATAAGTGAGAGAAACTTAAAAGAAGCAGCCTCCTTCACCTACCTACCTACCTACCTACCTACAAGCGGACAAAACTGATGAGAATATCAAGGCAGCGGGGATCGGGGAAGCAGGGCAAGCCTTCATTACTCTCATAAAGTTTGTGTGGAGATTAACGGCACCATTCAACTTGAAAAATGAGATCCGGATTTTCAACTGCTGTGTCATGTTAGTGCTACTAGCTGTTCGGATCAGAGACTTGGTGCCTCGCCGCGTCATGAAAGGTACTTTGAACAAACTACGTGCCTTCATCAACACCTGTCTTTCCTCAATACTACTCAAGATCAGATGGTTGGTCAGAAACGATCAATGGCAGGCAGAAATCCGCGGAATCGAATTAACCAGGAACTGATTGTGTAACAAATAAGCAGGAAGAAATGGAGGTGGATTATCCATACTCTGAGGAAACTATCAAGTGGCATCACTGGACGGGTCGTCGAGTGCAAGGGGCGAGTCGGTCTTAAGTACGAGGGTTACGTGGAGGAGGAGGAGGTGAATACATGTTGGTAGATGTGAAGCCAGATGATGAAAACGTTGATGGAGAACCAAACGTAATGGACGTAATATGGGCGGCTGAAGCCCTATATTCCTCTAGGAATTAAAGGAAACAATGATGATAATAATAATGATAAATAGATTTTTATCTGGTTTATCAGCAGATTTTACAGGCATTCAGTAATTCTTAACCAACACACTCCCGAATTAGACAGAGTTAATAATATAATTATTCATTGGCATAATCTACCAGACAGTGATGCATTGTCTAAGTTTTCCATTCATTCATTCATTCAAAAAAGCTGATTTGAACTATTTTACACTGTTTTTGAGTAGACTGTCTTTCCCTATTTAAAAAAATCAGTTATTCCAACCTTCCGTTATCGGATATGCTTTTTCACGGATAACATTGAAGAGATGAATACTTACACTAACTTTGACAGTTGGTTGCTCTTTCTAATACATCTATAGACGAAAGTAATTGAATCTTAAATTGTAATATAACACGCACTTTTCAGTTTATTATAAGACTGATTGCATGTACTTCATTTTCATGAGGTTTTCATAACTGACTGGTTTCAGCGAAGAACTTTGTACAAATATGCGGCAGTTCCAGTTGACACACTCCCTCCTTAATGCACACAAACCAGCAGAAGAGCCCCAGCAATTTACAACGAATTCAAGGCAAATCACCAATTGTCTTCAACCGTCAAGGGTTTTTTCCACCCCGAGGACTCCGATCAGTCAGTGAGGGAGTCTACATCTCCCGATGTGATTGTCTGGCTTAAACTAGCTGTTATGAAGCCGTGTTTAGGTTTGACCATCACAAGCTGACTCTTTACCAACCTCATCCACACCCTATGTCAGTCAGCTAACATTGCCCATCATCGAGGAAGGCGATGGATGCCTCGTCATGCATGCGGAACACATATCTCAACGATCTTTCTCAATCAGTATCGTCGATTGAACTCCCCTCCTTACCTACCACTGATGCTCAGTCAAACCTCAATAATTCTCACAATTCTCTAGCCAAGAAACTTCCGAATTTGGTTCCTTGATCAGAATTCAATTGCTTTGGTGAGCCCCAACGAGTAATCCAACAATCAAATATAGCTTTGGCTAGCGATCCCTGAATAGTTTCTCACGAACCGGCAGTAATAAGAGGCCAATCCTAGAAGACTGTGAAACTCATTCACGGATTTTGGTACGGGCCAGTCTTCGACTGCTGCAACTTATTCGGGATCACTATAAACGCCCTGTGCGCTGACAAGTTGTCCCAAGAAAGTGACTTGTGTTCTGAATAAACAGCATTTAATGAGTTGCACTCTGAGTCCCACTTCCTTGAAACGTTCCAAGACAATCCGCAGTCTCTCGAGGCGTTCTTCGATGGTGTAACGATGATATCATATAAATATACGAGGCACATTTGTGGGACTAATCCTTTAAGTACCGTGTGCACCAGTCGTTGAAACGTTGCTTGTGCATAACTTAACCCGAAAGGCATGGACTGGAATTCATACAAACCGGTATAGTAAAAGCAGTTTTGTGCCGATCACGAGGGTGGACTTCGACCTGCCAATATCGAGATGCTAAATCAGGGGTGTGAAAACCAGACAGCACCTGATAATGCCTCTAACATCTCGTCTATTCTAGGCAGTGGGTGAGCGTCTTTTCCAGTCACTACGTTTAATTTTCGGTAATCAACGCACAAGCGCAAGGAGCCGTTTTTCTTCTTAACTAACAATATAAGCGAAGCCCACGGTGAGTTTGATGGCGCAATTATCGTTTTTCTGTAGAATTCCATCAATCAAGCCTTCCAGCTGCGGATGGAAATTAGCTGGGAATCAACGAGGTGTTTGCCATATTGGAGCGCAATTACCAGTTGTTGTTGAGAACACCCGTAGGAGACCGGACTCTGATATCTATGATCAAAGACAGCTAGTCAGTCAGTCTTTTCATGTCTTCCACTTTCAGTGTCAGTGCTTCGGTCACAGCCATCCATAGAGGAGGATGGATCGAAGTGTTGCTAAGCAGTATACACACATCTTTTTGTCGATAACCAGGAGGATATTATGTCTAGTAAGTGAGAGATGGCGTATGTTGGCATATGATAAACGAGCCTTCTGTGTATGCCTGCATAGATTTAATCAGGGATCAACACCCACCAGCGTTGATTGATGAAAATTCCTCTCGAATACGTGAGGTGGTCAACATGCTCTAACATTTCACCACCTCCTAGGCTAAATTTGTGTTAAAAAAGTCTTCCTTATTATTGTAAATTTAGAACTCCTATTGCATTTAACTATGCCTAATTGAAAGTCAACATTTTATCTCCTTATCTCTTGTTAGTTGACAAGCCAGTTTCTAAAATCTCTGAACGGTATTCTAACTTATGAACGAAATAAAGCAAAGAAAACAGAGAGAGAGAAAGCCTTAAAGGAAGAGGCTTCATAGACAAAGAACTCCTATGCCTTAGTATAAGAATTTAACTTGTGCTCTATGGTAGAGTATAATTTCACTTTGGATTTATCTTGATAACGTCTCACAGTGTGATGACCACGTTTCGAACACAATTCATTACCACTTACAATAATATCAAGGCACTACTCACACAAATTTCCAACTTAGTTTATATAATTCCATTATTTTCTATCACTTGACTTGATGATTGGTAGTAGTATTTTCCGTATTTCTGGTATGAGTGATGAGTTATTCCTGTTGCATGTGTTGGGTGTAGATTCCATGAACAAAGATTCAGTAATCAACCTATCTGTCTATAAGTACTAAATATCACTTTTTAGAATTTTAACCGTCTCCCACCCAATATTGTGTGGTTGCTCGTTAAAGTATCCATTCAGTGCAATTGGTGAGCTTTTTTCTAAATTACTTATCTTCTCAGGGTCAATCATTCGACAATCTGACTACTCCCGATCTCCTAAGTTTTACTCACTTATGCGGTTGACTTAACTCACAGTCATTGCAGGGTATTTTGTAAATTATATCACTTTGTCTAATTGGGTTAAACCAACACTGTTCTTTCACCTAAGGAGCCTGGAAGCTGGAAACTTGTGTGAGTAGTGCCTTCATATGATTATGAGCAGTAATAAACTGTTCTGTAAACGTGGTTATGAGTTAAATATTGCTGTATAACGACACTGTGAGGCTTCCTCAGAATAAATTTTACCCCCGCCCTCAATGGAAATATACTCTACCACAGTGCACAAGATCTATACTCATAGATATGACCAGCATTCGATTCTGTCGACCAAGAGGTACTCTGGCTATGCTTGGCCATAAAAGGTATGCTGAGAAAATACATTGCACTGATCAAGGCACTCACTCTACTCGAACTCAAGCAGCCAGCTGACGGCTTACGGCGAGTTGTCATCTGAAGTGGTGATGACTAGTGGTGTCCGTCAAGGATGCCTATTATCCCCATTTCTATTCAGTTTCATCATAGATGTACTGATGGACGTAGTCCTAACTCACTCTTAAGAGACAGGCATTGACTTGCTACCAGGGAATAATCTCGTTGACTTGAAATATGCAGAGGATATAGTCCTTCTAGGCAAGGACGCTGACAAAATGCAGAGTCTTCTGAACACCTTCAGCTGTAATCTACGAATGTTTGGCATGCGATTCGCTCCTGCTGTCAAATGCAAGATGATGTTACAGGACTGGACTACACTGACCAACTGCTAGCTTAGAAATAGGAAGTGAAGTGGTAGAGCACGTTGACCACTTCACTTATTCGGGAAGTATCATCAGCCAGTGCCAACGAGTTGGTCTCTGACGAAATCTCAGCACGGATACAGAGGGCTAGTTTCGCATATGTCAGTTTACGCCGTCTCTGGCGTAGACATGATATCCCTCTGGCTATCAACCAAAGAGCGAGTGTGCTGCTCAGCATTCCGCTCCGTCCTCCTCTATGGCTGTGAGCGTGACGTTACCATTGAGAGTGGAAGACATGAAAAGATTACCTGTCTTTGATCATAAGAGCCTGCGCTCTATCTTCTGTGTGTTTTAAGTGGTGTAATAAGGTGGGCAGTATTGAGGTTAGGCATCGGTCGAGTGCTAGGTAAAGAGGGGAAATCAATCGACGAGGCTATGAAATTATATGGACTGAGATGGTGAGACATGTGTTACGGATGCCTAGTCATCGCCTTCCTCGACCAACGGGCAATGTTAGCTGACATAGTGTCAGAGTGGAAAAGAGCCAGCTAGCGGCGGTCAAACCACAACATGGCTTCATCAGTCAATGAAATCCAAAACAGTTAATATAAGCCAACCCCGTAGGAGGGTAAAGACTTCCTATTTTGAGTCCTCGAGACGGTAAAAACCACTGGCTAGAAACATTCGGTGATATGGCTCACAGTGATTGTTCTCAATGGCTGGCATAGATGCATCCACTCCTTGTGACTTGCGATTTCCAATAAAACTACATTGTTCTTCGATGCTACTATTCTTTTTGCCCCACATCTCTGCTTACTCTCTCCATTTTGCATTTCTTCTAATCTCTTCTCTTGCTTTGTGTGCTACATGGAGGAAGTGTGGCGACTTAGACTGCCGCGCATCTGTGTAAAGTTCTATGTCGAAAACAGACAGACTCATAGATGTGAAATGTGCTCTCAAACTTATAGTTGTGCGTCGGTGGCACAGTGGTTAGGATTCTCGCCGACCATGCACATGGTCCGGGGTTCGAGCCCTCGCCGACGCACACCTGATATCTATGGTCGGCCTGCGAAATTTGGGCTACCGGTATCCACGCTGAAAATTCCATATGTGTACCAAAAGTACGGTGTGGAATCAAGCTGTAATCAAAAAAATAAATAAAAAAAATAAAATAGATCTTGCCGATAATTGGTGGACAGTTACAGTGACACAATTTCAATATTTCTTTGATAAAATGTTTGCATAACTTTAAATCTGAGTAGATATGCTCACGATTTAAAGCCATACATCAATAGTAATAATAATACTAATAGTATACTAAATAAACGTGGAAAGGTTACTCAGAATATATGAAGGTATGCAAAACGATGATTTATAGGTATCTACAGCAATGCTACTCTTGCACTATACAACAAACACACACACACACACTTACCTGTGTCTGAAAAGCTCCTGTAAGCGCGCAAACTTTCTCAACAATCATATGAATAATATTTTTTCCCGACTGAGAGGCTGTCATTGTTTTCAGAAATGATACAATAGTTTCGCATCCACTGCATACTAAAAAATGGTTGAATAAAGTGCACAAAAAACCAAAATTTAGAGGGATAATTAAACTACCTTATAATTTTATTAATATTGCATTTGTTCATTTAATAAATCGCTCACTTTACTAAAACAAAACTACAGGCGGAACTGACGAGGACATCAAAGCCAGAATCGGAAAAGCAAAACAAGCTTTCATTACTCTCAAATCTGTGTGGAGGTCAACAGCAATCAGAATCAAAAATAAGATCCGGATTTTCAACTCCAATGTGAAGTCAGTGCTACTATACGGATCAGAGACTTGGCGAGTCATAAAGAGCATCTCAAACAAACTTCAAACCTTCATTAACAGCTGTGTCCGCTCAATACTCAAGATCAGATGGCCAGAAAAGATCAGCAACAGGGATCTCTGGAACGAACCAATCAGGAACCGATTGTGAAACAAATAGGCAGAAAGAAATGGAGATGGATTGGCCATACGCTGAGGAGACCATCAAGCGACATCACTAGACAAGCCATTGCTCGAGTGGAACCTGAAAGGGAAACGGCGAGTTGGTCGTCCAAGGGTGACTTGGAGGAGGTCATGTGAGGAGGAGATGAAAGCATGTGGACAGACCTGGAGCGGGGTGGAAAAGTTGTCAGAAAACAGAAGGCAATGGAGGTGTGCAGCTGAAGCCCTATGTTCCTCTAGGAACTAAAGGATACAATAATAATAAATAATATTTGAGATGGTTGGAATTTTTAATAAACGCCTAGTATAATTTCTTTAAAATGTTATTGTAAAAACAATTGTAATATTTTTATTATTTTTAAGATTCCTTTGGATTCCGAGTGGAACATAGAGCTTCAATAAAACATCTCCACTTTGGTATTAGATAGTTGGAGGCAATCGGCCACAGGAAGCCTTCCCGGGACCTAGGTTTCGTGCTAGTTGGCACTCATCAATAGGGCGTATCTGCAACCTTGAAAGAACTCATGTCCCTTTCTGAGATTCAAACACGCGTCACCCAGTGCTGCAATCAGAGACGGTGCCATTGAGCTAATCAGACTCACGATTGACCTCCTGTAGGACTGTAGTGGATATTTTTGATTGCTCACTTGTCAGTAACTAGTGACAAGCACTGGATATTACGGGTTTGAATCTCAGAAGGGACATGAGTTCCTTCAAGGTTGCAGATGCGCCTAGCACGAAACCTAGGTCAAGGTGGCCGATTGCCTCCAACAATCTAATACTAACACCTCACAGTGCACAGTAATGGCGAGCCACCTAGCATAGTGGCCACAATATTACAAGCTGGACTGATAGAATTCAGTCTGCACCGAAGATAGGACTAAACACATTACACCAGTTACTGACTAGTGTGCAATCAAAAAACAGCTCCACTTTCTTCTATTTTCTGCGGTCCTCTGTAGCAGCCTCCACGATTTCCGATGATCTCCCGTCTCCCCCCTCCTCCTCCTCCTCCTAACAAAATCTCTTCCATGTCACCCTTGAACTGATGACCCACTCGTCCCATTCAGATTCCTTTAGAGCGTTGACCTGGCTAGTGATGTCATTCGACAGTATCTCCGGTATATGCCCGATCCATCTCTCTTTGGTTCTCGCCTGTTGGTTTTTTTCCCAAGCCAGAGTCTTTTGTTACTAATTCTTTCTGACCGACCATTTCATCTTCATTATGAAGTCTGTAGACTGCAGTAGACTGTTGAAAATAGCTTTCCTGATGCGCCTGCCAAGTTCATGACCCGCATAGAAAAAGTGATTAACTCACTGACTTGACATTGGTGTTGAACAGAATCCAAATGTTATTGTTGTTGTTGTTTATGCTGAGGCGCAGTGTAGAAGACTTTCAAACTGGTTTCAGATTGATGAAAGCGTGTTTTGCCTTTCCGATTTCGACTGGATTTGACACCTTCATCCATTCCACTGGCTTGTGGTTGAGATAATGCTTCCTGGAGAGAGAAGTGAAGGAGGTAGCCTCTGTCAGATTTCTCCTGTTGATGGTGATTGGCACCGGTTTTTGTCATTGTTGTTGCTGTAGTTGTTGGCTGATTATCTTGATCACCTCTGTCACCTGTATTTCCACCTGCAGTCCTGTCTTTGCTGGCAGCCTCTTCATCCAGTCTGTTGGCTTGCACCTGCCTGTAATTCTTTCAGATTGTGTGACAATAAACATATATCATCCACACGCGAAATCCATATTTTCTGCAGTCTTCCTATCGGTTGTCCAACGTATTCCTGCCTTCTCGCTCTCAGCCACAACAATTAGGAATATCATCAGTGATAATAGTCAAAAAAGCCTTGTCTTACATCTGTGTACACTTCGAACGCCTAGCTGAGTGGCTATTTCGTTGTGTATCACCTGACACGTGTCTGGCAGTGTCATATAGCTAGGCAGCTGTTGAATGAGGTTGATAAAGACTTGGGCACTGCACGCCATAGTGATGAAATAGTTTCCTGATTACTTCTCTGTCAACGTTATCTGTCTACGCCTTTTTCGAAGTGGATGAAGTTGAGGTAGAGAGACAGAAAGGTTTGACTACAATTCTATTCTTTGTTCTGTGATTATGGTGATGCGTACAGTAGCAATTTTATCAGCACATTAAAAAATATATTAGTAATAATGATGATAAGAATCTACTTTATTCCAAAACAGACAATAATTATAATACAGAGTGAAATTCTCAGCATTTGTCACAACACTTTGCATTTGATTTACTTAAAATATAAATAAAGTTAAAAATTAAAACAAAATTAACCAGAGGGATTTGTCCACGTTTACGATGTAAAGTCAAAAATATTCGAAGCAAGAATTGAGATTATTAAATATAATAATAATAATAATTAATAGTGGGTTTGTTTCAAACAGTATTGTCGATTCAGTTTGGAAATTTTAGCATGTTATAGATTATTAAATCTATTGTTCTGTTAATGTAGTATAGTGAGGGAAAACACAAGATTAACGGTGGTAACAGATTTTAAACGATGTTCACACTTGTGATAAATAAATAAACAAAAACAAAAAATTGAGAGTATTGTAAATATAAGAAATACAATGAAAATAAAGTTTGATACCGTAAGGGTGGAAGAAATGGTTTATTTAATAGTGCTGTCTGTCTGTCTATTTTCGACATAGAACTTTGCACAAATGTGCGGAAGTTCAAGTCGCCACATTCCGTGTAGCACGCGAAGCAAGAGAAGAAAGTACAAGAAAAGCATAATAGAAACAGTGAGCAGAGGTGTGAGACAAAGGAGTAATAAAGAAATACAAAACAGTTTCATTGGAAATCAACAGTCACAAGGAGTGGATGCATCTGCGCCACTGAGAACGATTTTGAGCCATGTCACCAATTGTTTCCAACCATAGATTTTTACCGTCCCGAGGACCCCAGCCTGGAAGTCTACACCTTCCTACGTGGCTAAGACCAACTGTTGTGGATTTCATTGACTGGTGAGGCCAAGTTTTTGTTTGACCGCCGCTAGCTTTTTTCCAGCCTGACCCTATATCCGCTAACATAGCTCGTCGAGGGAGGTGATGACTTGGCATACGTAACACATGTCCTAACCATCTCAGTCTTTGTAGCTTCACGGCTTCGTCGATTGATTTCCCCTGTTTACCTAGAACTCTACGCCTAACCTCAATGTTGCTCACCTTATTATGCCACTTTACACGGGAAATAGAACGCAGGCACCTATGATCAAAGACAGCTAGTCTTTTCATGTCTTCCACTCTCAGTGGCCAGGTCTCACAACCATAAAGGAGGACGGAGCGGACTGATGAGCAGTACACCCGCCCTTTGGTCGATAGTCGAACATCTCGTCTACGCCAGAGTCGGAGTAAACTAACAAATGCGAAACGAGCCCCTTGTATTCATGCTGAGATTTCGTCAGCAAAGAAGGTTAGTTAGTTCATGCCTAACACTATTTTCATCACATAAAGTACGTGCCGCCAAATATGGTATAGTGGAATTCGCATACGTAGACGTACGTGCACAAAGTCTTCTGAAAAGACTTCTTATTTTACCTGAGGAGAAACAAGGTTGGAGCTGTGAGTGCTAAGGTGGGAGCTCCGAGTCTGACAAAACTCCTTTAGAGGATTTGTTCCATGAAATCAAGTGCCTATCAATGACAATTTCAACGATATGGCCCAATGGGATACCACGCGTCCTACTGACAGTCTTCAGGGTTCTACGAAGTATGACATAGTGTTTTTTAAGCAATCCGGGAAAGAATAAACAAGGGTGAACAGTAAAGAAGAATAGGTAAGATGCAAGAGTTTATGAACTGTAAGAGGAGGGGTTAGTTGAGTTATGTCTGAGTGCCTTAACTTCTTAATATAAAAAGTCAGATGAAATATTCTTTAAGAAATCGCTATGACATGGGAAGACCAGGATAAATCAGAAGAAAGAATTAATCCAAGATACTTAACTTTAGACTTGGTGTCTATATCAGTATCATGAATTTTGCAAGGGTCGCAGGAACCAACAGCTTTATCATTTAACTTTCGTTTACGTCGGAAACTGAAATTAACACTCTGACATTTGGAAAAATTTAGTTTAAGGCCGTTAGACGAAGACCATTTGCTGATTCCTGATAGAAAGCTATTCATCTCATTATTAAATAATAATAACAAAATATTTTATACTTTGAGAACAACTGCTCTTAATCAAAATGTCATAGTGACAGCTTCATCAACAATAGACTAATCAGCAGCTTAGAATGAAGAGCCACGTTGATTGTCATTCATCAATCGATTACAGTAAATGTAAGTTACATGTGATCTGAATAAACCAGTTTATATTTAGCAGTTTAAAAACATGAGATATCACGTAAACTTCAGATAACCTGACGTAAAATAAAGTTTTATATAACTGGAAACATTTAAAACGTGAAAACTTAACCTATCAATCTTTAGCAACTGTCAACGTAACGTAAATGCCTCTATGACGACATTTAACAAAATGGAATTTGCAATTATTCAGTATGTTTTTCTCAAGGTTAAACGACATAGTATAGCAAACGTATGTAAACGCTATTGGCACATGTATATAAGTGATTTGGTTGACGAAGCTATGTGTGTGTGTTACTCAATAATTAGGCTTAAAATTGTTTACAAGTATTGGTTTTGTAGGGATTTCGCTTGTTTCTTTAGTTCGAGCCGGCTGTTTCGTCGGCCTAGTTAGAGATTCTTAACAGTAAGCACCCACCGACAGGGTTCGAACCCTGAACCTACTGGTTACACGGCTAGAGAGCGTGTAGACCACTAAGACGCTGGGACCCGACTCCTCAATGGCCAGTCCATGAATTATAACTTCTGTGGGGAAACCCTACAAAACCAATACTACTTGTAAATCGATCTGATGTTTACAAGTGACTGGGCCTATTTAGATAAGTAGCCACTTTGGGGTTCTAGTGGGAATCCGTGACCAGCTGAAGGTGAGGCAGTAGCTCATCGAAGACGACATCGAGAAGTGGTCCCTCTATGCCACTAATTGACAGAAATTGGAATTCATGGGATGGCTGGTCTTGGGATCGTGCTTCAATTGATAAATGGTCTACGATCTCACTCGCCTTGTAACCAGAAGGTGCTGGGTTCAAACTTGCTATGGTGGGTGCGTACTGCTGAACAGTCAGTCCCGAAATAGAACGACGACTGAAACAGCTGGCTTTCTGGCAGTACTCCTAGCTGGTTTTTCAATGGTTCTCTAACTGATCTCAGCTCATGATGAAATCACCAAAGTAATAAAATCTTTTTGGCTAATTCATGCTTAAGTGATACACATATTTATACAACTTACCTATGGTTGAATTATCATCTTTTAAGTTAGTAGTATAAGATTTACACCAGTTCTGCATCTATCAAAGAATAAAAGTTAAAAAAAGTAAAATTCGAGTTTATCGCTCACAACTAGTTTTTAAAAAGTCTGGTTTTGATCGTTATTGTTATAATTTAGATTAAGCAATAAGAAGAGAGTCGTAAGTTGTCTGAATCGTGTGTAATGTGTATTTGCCCCACACATTTCGAACAATCTGATCACACACACTCTACGGACTTGTCATAGGAATGGATATATATGAAATTAATAAAGAGGTAAGAGGTGAGAAAATAGACTGCTTTGGTCAAGTTAAAAGGACATATTCAAGGTCAAAATAACAATGAAAACCACTAAACCAAATAACAGAGGTAATAGTACATGTGATATTGGTATCAAAACAACTTTACCAAGGTGGGTTTAATGTGATGACGAAATGTTTTTCAACAAATATAGGTGGATTAAACTTCCTAATTGCCAGCTAAGGCTTCCACAAACTTTAGGATACGCCTCAAACACGTTTTATAGATAGGTTCAAAAGATGCGTTAATGTCAATTTTATGTGCTGTCTCTATAATATGTTTCGCAATAGAAGAGCTAGGTCTCCTGTTCTCACCATTAATGGGTTCTGAATATTCCATTTGTTACTGGAGCTATTTAAGAATATGCTTTGAAGTCCTTACTTGCAGAGATCGATGAAGCCTCCCTCCTATATATATATGTGTCCACACTTGCATTGAAATTGGTAAATACAGTGAGATGTGACGTCATTTTTCGCATGTTCGAAGGACTTAGATGGATATATTCGCTTCACATTCTCAATTATTATGATATTAGCTGCATAAAAAGTCTTTTTAACCACAACAGCGTTCAGTCTTTGTCTAGTTATCAAGCTGCTATGATGCCCCATATTGGGTAGCTTGATGTACAAGTCTTTCCTAGCGGTGAGTTGTAGAGTGGGTCTTGGTATTCTGACTACTTTATATCTCGTTATGAACTCGTCTGGTAAATTATTATCAACCAGAGTTTGTGTCAACTTTCTTTCTGCCTCATCAAATGTGTCTTCAGCGCATATTCGTTGGATTCTACTGAAGAGGCACCTCACTCACTAAGGATGTTTTGTACCGAACAGGACAGAAACTGTGGTCATTAAGATACTGTCATGTCCAGGTAGGTTTTCTATAAATAGATCCCTTTATTGATCTATCAGTCTGTCAGCTAAGCAATATGTCTAGGAAAGATAAACAATTATCTTCCTCTTCTGCAGATGTTAGTGATACGCTATTGTGAAATTCAATCATTCGATTTAAAATTGAGGTGACAGAACAAGACTTATCACTGATGATTACAATATCATCTACATACCACCTTCCATAAAGTGGCATAATTTCGACTAAATCCTCCGATCAATGTGTGGAAGCCCTAGCTAGCAATTAGACAGTTTAAACCACCTTTATGCGTTTAAAGCAACAATTCGTCATCACATCCAACCTTCCTTGGTAAAGTTTGTTTTGATGTACTATTACCTCTGTTATTTGGTCTAGTGGTCTTCATTGTTATTTTGACCTTGAATATGTCCTTCTAACTTGACCAAAGCAGTCTATTTTCTCACCTCTTACCTCTTTATTAATTTCATATATATCCATTCCTATGACAAGTCCGTAGAGTGTGTGTGATCAGATTGTTCGAAATGTGTGGGGCAAATACACAGTACACACGATACAGACAACTTACGTCTCCTTTCTTATTGCTTTATCTAAATTCATAAAGGGAACTAATTGTTTTAAATATTGTTAAAATGTTTTAAATAGAAATTAATTGAGAATTGACAAAACACAAGTACTTACTGATTTAAGATGTTTATGTTTTGATGATTCGACAAAATTTCTTAAGAATCGTCTAGTTGCCCCAGTCATGTACAAATTGCACTAAAAGCATAAACGATTAAAGAAAACAAAAAGCAATTTATTTGACATCATTTTATTTCCCTATGATCTAAAAGAAAAACAAAAATAATATTTTTATGATTTCACCATGAGCTGATATTGATTAGAGAACTATTGAGAAACCCACTGGGAGGTACTACCAGACAGCCAGCTGTTTCGTCCTAGGAGTACAGCAGGTCGCCGAAGACATCGGCTAATGGTCGCGCTATGTTTGGCCATTGGGTAAGATCATAGTGGCCCTAATGGTCTATGAGCTCACTAGCCATGGGTTCAAACAACCCGTATGTGGATACGTGCTGCTGAAGAGTCGCTTCTCATACCAGTGTGACGAGACATTTGTCTGGCAGTGGTTCTCTAACCGTTGTCAATTCACGGTGAAATTCTAAAAACAAATCAAATCAAATCTCTGTAAAGCATCACTTGGAAATATTTTCTAGTGAGTAGATATTTTGTTGAACAAAAATAGCAACGTTGAAGTGACTGTTTTTTTGAATAATTTTAATTTTTCAAGAATAATCGCTAGATTCATCTTACTTATTCCTTCTCACCTCGAAGCTTTATTCACGAATTATCTACATGATATTTGTCAAATAGTCCTTGAATTCTGTGGTTTAAAGCTTGGGCAGTGAATTAGATATTCTTGTATTAGATAATGAGTAAGTGTAAGCCTTTCCTTCGTGTTATGTTTAAAATGAAATTTGCCCTAACCCGTGTTTTACATTATTATTATTATTAGCATTAATTTCATTCCTTTACGTTTCCAGTGGAACATACGCCTTCATTATAGAGCTCTGAATTCTCAGTAGCAGTGAGGTTTCTTTTATTTTCACGCAGTGGGTTTGGTAGTCTCATATTCCCGAAGCTTCCTTCTTTGCGAGTCTTATTATCGGCTTAGCGAAGTAGAGGAGTGGGTCGGCCGAGGATTGAACCCCAGACCACATGCGCGGTCGATGAGCAGGTATTCTAACGCCAAGCCACCGACGCCTTAGATCTATGTGAAATATATTTAAATATCTGAGGCAGCCTTAATCACCTAAACTACAAATATTACTTTTGTAGGAATTTTGTGTTTGATTGCATGGAGGATTTCATCATGAGCTGATATCAGTTAGAGAACCGCTGGAAAACTTGGGAGAACTGGACAGCTGTTTCGTCCTAATTTCGAACTCTTCATCAGTACACAATCACCTGGGTTCAAACCCAGGGTCTTCTTGTTACAAGGTGACCGTTGAGCCACTTTTTGCGTCAGTGGTATGGCGGTAAGGACGCTCGCCGACCATGCCCATGGTCCATGGTTCGATCCCCGGCCGACGCACTGCTTTACCTCGCTAAGCCAGAAAGAATAATGCTGGTAAAGAGGAAAGGTCGAGCATGAGGCTAGCAATCTCATCCTGTAAAATTAAAACGCTGCAACAGAAACTTCAAGCCACTAGCTTGGAGCCCTATGTTCCACTGAGGAACGTGAAGGAAAAACAATTGAGCCGCTTTGACCGGAAAGTCCTGGGTTTGAACTCCGGTGTGTGAGTGCTGCTGAAGAGTCCCGAATTGGGCTGACGTAACAGCTGTCTAGTACTGCCAGGTTTTCCAGTGGTTCTCTAACTGATGTCAGCTCATGATGAAATCCTCTATGCAATGAAATACAAAATCCCTACAAAACCAATACTTGAAAATTAATCTGATGCTCACTTGTGGATGGCCCTATTCGGACAGGTAACCTGGAGTTCTAGTGAAAAAGCCGTGACCAGTAGGGTACAGCAGGTTGAAGATAAGGCAGAAACTCATCAAAGAAGACATTGCGAAATGGTCACGCTATGTCGTGAATGTTTATTTCTTTCTTTATTCGAGAGTATAAACTACAGGTCATTCTCAAAATGTCTTCTCAGTAAAGTAGAATCTCATGAAAAGTAATTAATATTTGATTATAGTTGTAAAGGATAGGGAAAAGACGTAAACAGTGGCGAAACTTTTCCCCTAGACGATTCATTTTCATAATCTGCTGTACAATCGTAATTATACATTTAATAAAGAATTCATAAGACAACCAATCAGATACAGGTTGGCAAAAATTTGTCCTCGAAAAACGTTTTACGTAGTGTAAGGTGTAATCTAGAAGGAATGACTGTTTGGAAATTAGAAAAGAAGGAGGGCAGAAGTCTGGATGACGTAATAAGTGCGAGAAAATGGTTAACCAATATGATTGTGTAGAATGGACAGAAATTAGTGGAAAGACGATAAAGTATTATAAAAGCCACTCGAAATCTAGACTAAATACCCCCGCCCTTAATGGAAATATACTCTACCACAGTGCACAAGATCTATACTCATAGATATGACCAGCATTCGATTCTGTCGACCGAGAGGTACTCTGGCTATGCTTTGCCATAAAACGTATGCTGAGAAAATACATTGCACTGATCAAGGCACTCACTCTACTCGAACTCAAGCAGCCAGCTGACGGCTTACGGCGAGTTGTCATCTGAAGTGGTGATGACTAGTGGTGTCCGTCAAGGATGCCTATTATCCCCATTTCTATTCAGTTTCATCATAGATGTACTGATGGACGTAGTCCTAACTCACTCTTAAGAGACAGGCATTGACTTTCTACCAGGGGATAATCTCGTTGACTTGAAATATGCAGAGGATATAGTCCTTCTGGGCAAGGACGCTGACAAAATGCAGAGTCTTCTGAACACCTTCAGGGGGTATACCAATAAGCATGGCTACAGAGGCAGTCAAAAACGAACTTATTTCTGACCAAGAACTCCAACTTAGGACAAAAGCGTCACTTGAGGACATAATGCTGGGAGTGCAGCTATGCCTAACCTCCATAGTATTTCAATTCTAAGGGAAAATATACAAACAAACTGAGGAAGTTGCCATGGGATCACCAATATCCTCGATTGTGACAGATATATTCATGAATAGGTGTGAAAACATGGCTACCGAAACGTTCACCCCCACCCTAAAAGTATGATGACACATTCACTCTACTTAAAACTCAGGATATAGACAGGTTTTTCGTACATATTAACTCAAAGGTAGAGGCAATGCAATTCACTTATGAATTAGAAAGTCAGGAAGGGGAACTTCCAATGTTGGATTGCAACGTAAAAAGGAAAGCAGATGGGAAGTTAAACACTAGTGTTAATAGGATACCCACACATTCAAACAGATATTTGGACTTCCGACTATCCCATCCTATGTCAGTAAACATAAGATTAGCGAAACGATTAAATGATAGAGCACAAAAACTAAGTAGTTCTAAGGAAAATCTATGTGAAACTAGTAGAACAGGGGTAGTCAGACTAGCCGAACATAGAAACCTAGGAACATCTAGATTGGGTGACCCAAATAAGATACGAAATCTGGAGAATAGTTCAGCTATATCACCCACTACATGCAATTACACACAACCATACAATAGGCTGGATGGGATAAGATGACAGTTTTAAAATCTATTGTCACAGGATGGAGGGAGAGATTGATAACAGAAACTTTGTTTATCAAATCAACTGGAGAGAGTATACGTGTAATAGGAATGATTCAATACCTGTCTCAGATATCCGGAAAATTCTACTACCCCTACGACGACAAATAGGAGAGGACAAAGAAAACTATAAGTCTCAAGTTTCGAAAATGTGTGATTATAATTGATGAAATGATTAAGAATAATAAATTTTGTTCGAAACATTGTCATCCAGTATATAATACTGTTTCACTGTATGATACATCCAATAAACAAACTAATATGGAATTACGATAAAGTGTTTTTATATAAAACCTGTACGAAAACACAATGTTATTAATAAATGGTAATAAAGTGATAATAAAATAAGAATGACTAGAATAATAATAGTAATAATAATGACAATAATAGTGAACTTCCAAAATAAAAAGAAGCAAAATTATAGTAAGAGCATTACTCTGGCCACGATAGGGCGAGTGAATGCATGTAGTGCTTTTGAATGTAGAGGTCCGGTTTCAGATCCCTAACAGCCAAAGATTCAGTAGATATGTACAGATGGCGTATTCGAAGCCCCTTTTCATCATCAACTGACATTGGCTAGGGAACCATTGGAAAACCTGTGAGTACTGGACCGCTGTTTCGTCCTAGTTTGGGACTCTTCATTAGTATGCACCCACCGGCGTTTGAAACCTGGACCTTCTGGTTACAGGGCGAGCTAGCTAGTAAACCATTAAGCCACTGGGACTCGATCCAGTGGCCAGTCCACGAATTCTTCTCACTTCTGCCAATTCACGATATAGCGCAACCGTTAGCCAATGTCTTCGGCGAGTATATGTCCTCACACCCGACCTGTTGCACCCTACTGGTCACGACTTCCCACCAGAACCCCAGGTAACTACCTACCTGAATAGTGCAAGTCGCCGGTGAGCATCTCTAACCAATGTCAGCTCATGATGAAATCCTGTCACCAATCAAATCCCTACAAACGAACACTTAAATATAATTACAATTGTACGGCAGCTTATGAAAAGGAATCGTCGACAATGAAATTCTCTTATCTGTTTACGTCGTTTTCTAAATTATAGGATAACTAAAAAATATTTTTTCTTATACCTTATAGACGAAGGTACATAGAATCAGAAAATATTTTCTTATTGGCCTGTAGATTCACTCTGTTCACTAATTCTTCCGGTCACTTTACTTAGGATACATTTTTTATGATAATTCATTATAGAAACTTACCCTATGTCTTTCAGTCTTCTTTTCAAGATGTCCACATGTCACTGACAACACATATTTGATTATATTCTCTCTGAATTTATCTTGTTTCAAAATTCGGACACCTTCTTCATGAGTGAATTCCAAAGCTTGACAAGCTGTAAATTAAATAAATAAATTAATTAATGAAAATTTCGTTTAAAACACTTAGTTCCCTTTATGAATTTTGACAAAACAATAAGAAGGAAGACGTAATTTGTCTAGATCGTCGCCTGTCCTCACTTTGTTTCTGTAGCCATTTTGGGCATATGCTGTGAAGCCCGCTCTTACTTGTTGGCAGAGGTCAATGAGGCCTCTCTCCTATGTATGTGTGTTCATACGTACTTGAAGATTGGTGAATACAGAGTAGGATGTGACAACAACTCTTCGAATGTTCTGAGAGCATAGATGAATAGATATATCAGCCTTAAATTCTCAATTATTCTGATCCTAACTGCATAAAAGTCTTTTGAACCTCAGCATTCAATCTTTTTTTTTCTATTTGATTTAGCGATTTTTATTGTTATTTTGACGTTTAATATATATATATATATATATATATATATATATATATATATATATATATATATATATATATATATCCTTTTAACTTAACCTCCTAACTCTTTAATAATTTCATATATATGTATATTCCTATGACAAGTCCATATGTGATCAGATTGTTCGAAAGGACTAAAAAGAAGGATGTTTATTATGACAGACCCAACTGTTAATAGTGATACTCTCAAAAGATAAAGCTATCCGAATTTTGTGAGGAAGGCGTTGCATGCAGATAGTCTGCAAGAGTATCCTTTAGGAAACGATCATGTTGGTCATGTAATAAAGTAAGGCATATTGTTTGTTATTAATAATAAAATGTCTATAAAGGTGATTAGAAATATTGTATGATTGAGTAAGTAGGTACATTGGTCGTTCATTTCTTATCCTGTCCAAAAGGATTTGAGAACACTATCACACAGCTTGGTTACAAAAAGGCAATAATGGCTGTGTAAGGGGTGCGACTGGTTGCAGACCTTTATCAACAACAACAACAACAACAACAACAACCGTTTTCGCTCTATACTGAAGATCAGATGGCCAAAAGAATCACCAACAAGAAACTATGGGCACAAACAAAACAAGAACCCATCGCCAACCAACAAATATGCAGGAGAAAGTGGAGAAAGATGGATTGGACACTCGCTGAGAAGGCCACCGCTGGGTGACACCACGCGTGCATCAGGCCATTACTCTAGTGGAACCCAAAAGGGATGCGACGAGTGGGATGTCAGTGAGAGGGTGACATGGAGGAGATCGTGTGAAGAGGAGTTGAAAGAGTATGGACTAACATGGATACAGGTGAAAAGTACAGAAGAAGGAAGACAGAAGTGGCAAGTGGAGACGTGCATTTGAAGCCGTACGTTCCACTAGGAACCCAAGGGAACAATAATAATAAAAAGGAGTGCGATCACTGATCACCTTGTCAACACTAACCATTACATCCTAACAAACGCCTCCTGCTTCAAAGTAATCTACAGAGTCAAGAATAACCACCTATCACAAAGGCTTCTAAACACAAGTATATATTGTAATTTACTGATGTCATTAGTAGGTAGGACAACTGAAAAAGTATAACATCCATTAAGCCTAAAGTACTCATAATACCAATACCAATAATAATAGTAATAATGATATAATCACTTACCCAAATTTTTGACGTCATTATTTAACTGGAATATTAAAAATAAAACAGAGACATAAGTAGGAATTAGCCTTGTAACATTATACATAAATATGTCAAAAAAACTATCATGAAAAGATAAAATCCAGTACTCTCTGGTGAACATGTGTAATTCGTGGGACTTCCACACCATTATCTTAGAACTTACCTACTTACTGGATATTATATAAAGGAATTTTCACAAAAATACAAGATCAAAAATGGAATTTCTAAAGGTGTGTGTGTGGTGTGATAAGGAATCGCTTTGGTGATCTTCTTGAATCACTGGGCTACCTGAATTTTCATTCAGTGATGTCTGTGGGTCGCTAAATGTAGGCATACACATTTTTTTAATTGGTTTGCAACCCTATTGTTTCTCCAATTCTGGAGGACCAAAGATTTAACATTACTGTGTCATGCAATGTACTAGAGATGGCTGTTTTACTTGGAACTCCTGTTTGCAGAGAAAATATTTTGCATATTGTGTAAACTTATTGTGCTATCATTATTAATAATATTATCATTGTTAATTCAACTATGTATGAAATTCATACTGGAGGGTAACTACATGCGTAAATATAAGTTATACCTATTGCTATAATTTAACCCCAACATTACGTAACAAATTTATGAGCATGTACAGACTAAAATTACTCGCTCAACTTTCATGATAACTTCATTCTGCATTTAGAACTCAAGCTTTTGACAAAACAAAGATTAATAATAACGACTTCAGTAACTAGATCGTTAATATTTCAGCAAAAGAATTTTAGAGCGACTCAATATTTGTAAAATCTCAGCGAAATTGAAATGAGTGATTACAACGTTTTCCAGTTTTGGCAAACTGATCCGAATTTCTTCAGGGGAAATTAATCGAAATTAACATAACTGAGGTTAAGATATATAAAAGAAAGGACATCTCTTGTTTTAAAAAGACGCTAACACCCTACGCTCATCACTGGTGAAGGTTAAGGATAAAATAGAAGAGGCGAAACCAACAGAATGATGTGTGTACCAGATCAGTTATAGAGACTCTGACGCCATGTATACGTAGGAGAAACTTCCAGACAGGGAAATATAAGTGTGAAAGAGTAAAAACAATGCCTAAAGATGGTTGGTTCCAAAGACCTCTGCAGACTTGAAGAAGCTAGAAAACAGATCAGCGACTGCACTGTATTTGATAGAAATGGGACACAAAATCACCTTTTGATAAGACTAAGGTTCTACAGAAAGGTTTTGTGTCGAATAAACAAAGATTGACCGCGGAAGCCATATATATCATATGGGTGAACCCCAACAGTTTGAGTAGACATTAAGGTATGATCTTGTTAGCTGATGTATGGCAAATTCTCATTAATAATAAATGAAAGATGGATATGTAACACTAATTAATCATACTTGGTGTAAAATTCCCGACTGCCTTTATTTTATTATGGAAAAGCTAACACCATTATATACGGCATATAGATACACTCTGTTTAAAGTGTTTAACAAAAGTAGATTAATATATGAAAGAGAAGATTTGTAGCTCAGATAGATGATTTTGATGTGGTTTTGTTCTCTGAGCTGGATGGTTAATTTGCGAAGCTTTCATCACCCAGCAGGGTGATGAAAGCTTCGCAAATTAACCATCCAGCTCAGTAGACTAATATACTTGTAAATCTGAGGTCACATATTGATCAAAGCTCATACAATTTTGTTTACTTAGTAAACTTGTTAATACCCATTCCATGACTCATATGACCGGACAAAGGTTTTAAAAACAAGAGATGTTCCCTTTCTGCATATAAACCTCTATTATGTTAATTTCGATTAATTTCCCTGAAGAAGTTCAAATCAGTTTACCCAAACGTAGGAAACGTTGGAATTACTCATTTCAATCTCGTTGAGATTTTACAAATATAATTTTTTTTTCACCAATGTCTATTTCTCACTCGGTGCCCAATTATTTTTCTAACTATTCGAGGTCAGATCTTGATCACAGTTGGCATGTACTCAATATTTTGATCATAAAAAAGTGTTCCTTTGGTTATTTGGATTATTTCAGAAGATTGTAGAAACATACAAAACATTCAGAAGACAGTAGATGTTCGAGAATATTTAAAAAAAATAAACCCGTCTACGGCATAAAAAGTACTACCACTATTACAACTTCTTGTATAAAATTGTTGTAAACGCTTCATTTGTCTGCGTCGGTGGCGCAGCGATTAGAATGCTCACCGACTATGTACATGGTCTGAGGTTCTACCCCCGGCCATAGACGCACTCCTCTGCTACCTCCTAAGGGAGAAATGTAAAAAAAGCTGGTAAATAGAGGAAAGGTTTGGGTGGGGTGAGTGGTCATGAAGCCGGCAGGAACCTGATTCTGTAAACCTCCAGCCTGAAGCCCACCTTATGTTCCACAGAAGGGGAGGGGAACATGAACGAATAAAAAAAAACAAAAAAAGCGAAGGAAAAAAAACGCTTCAGTTACCTGTGAATGTTTGGTAGATGTTACAAATTCTGAAAAAATAAAATTATTATTATTAATTTATTAGATAAACAATAAATATAATTAATATTACCGAGAGCGAATACAGCGACTAGAAGATAAGTGAACATTTTCTCTCTGAGGCGATCGTGTAATATCTGCGTACTTGACGTGTGTAGGTAGTAAGTAGTATATAGCAAATGAACCTTAGAAATTCAGTGATTTTTATACCTTACTACTGTTTTTCCACTAAAAAGTATTACGAGATTAAAAGATGGTAATATTTAATTTTAGGGTAATATGAAACAACTACTATAGCTGAACAAAGTTCATTTAAGTGTTTTCAATGTGAGACATGAGAGGTATGTAACTAACTGATGAACTAATGTTGATTCCATTTTTGAAACTTTATCCTACATAACAAGTAGTAGTTAAATCTTTGTTTTGTTAATTTTCTTTTTAATTTTTAAAGTTTAAACGGAATTATATAACTTATTAGTAGTTTAATCCACTGTACACACACACCATGATAAATAACATATTTTCAACGTATAGCAAAAAATAAAATGCGCGCACTTTAATTGCTCTCTCAGAAAAATAAAAAACTTATATGAATTCACAAAATATACAAGATTGTTGAAATATAAAAAAAAACACAGAGTGTTGTATAAAGTCCAAAATCATATCCATAACAATAATAACAATTTTGATGCATATATTTTTCATAGAAATAATGATGAATGACTTTTGAAACAATGTTCACAATTCAATTTCAGTGGTATGATAAAATAAAACTATGCTAAAAATTCTTCTTAAAAAAATGTTTATATTCATCACAATGAGGTGATGCTATTCTTTTTTTGAGAGATTATAATCGATTTAATAGTAGTATTGGTTAGAATTCATGGGTTGGTTATTGACAAGTCGGGTTCCAGTGGAGTTTGAATGGTTTATAAGCTTGCTAGCCTTGTAACCGGAAGGTTTGTGAGTTCAACACCTGTCGATGGATCGATGCCTCCCAAACTAAGCTGACGAAACAGCTGGCTAGTCTAGTATGCTAATGCTGGTTTTCAAGGATTCTCTAACCAATATCAACCCAATGGTTTATTCTGAAATAAATAGAATTCCTACAAACTGATTGTTGACAATTAATCTGATGCTTGCTAGTGACTATTGGTTACAGGATGGATTTTCCCGGAGTTCTAGTGAGAAGTCGTGACCAATGGAGTGGTCCATCAAGGTCATTGGTGCGATCCCACTCCGTTAGTATTTACTGGTGCTTAAAGTTCAACTTGGCCCCAGACAGTTGAAAACCGTCATTGCTATTTAACCAGAGGGTTCGTAGGGAAACATTCTACTCTATTCTCTGCCATCACTTTTCAACTTGCTCTACTGTTACTCTTAAGCTCTCATTTCCTCTCCATACTGTATGCTTGCACGTCTAAGTATAGAAATTCTATGATACCATACTTGGCACGTATTTTACGTGATGAAAATAGTGTCAGGATAGAATTAACTAACCTTGTTTCATCTAGTAAATAAACAATTTCCTCCATCCATCCATCCATCCTTATATACCTTCAAGTTCAACTTTTATTATTTCTACTATATTTATGGTCCTGTTACTTCTTTGTTTGTTTTACTTTCATAATTGCAATCATCAACTTAACTCCCCTCACCATATCATGTAAAGAGAACTTTATATTCAATATTTTTAAACATGCTGGGATTTTTATGCCACATCAACAATACTGTGTGAAACAAACCCACGGCAATTTTCACTTATATTATTATTATTATTACCTTAGCCGTTATCATTATTGTTATTATTTCCATTTTATATGCTGCATGTTTTTGACATTACCTCTATTGTAAATGTGGAAAATTTTCTTCTGTGTGATTAATTTTATTTATAATTTGAGGAAATTAGATGCAATATTGTGATTAATGCTGAAAATTCCATTCTGTATCACAAGTACTGTTTTTGGAATAAAGTAAATCATTATTATTATTATCTTTCATTTCACCAATGGAAGCCCAACCCGGTGGTTTTAGTTCGGCTTCGACTCTAAGGTCTACTGTGTGATGTCACTAAGTTGCCTTCACAGAGTATATCCAATCCATCTGCATATTCCTTGGTTAAGCAAAAGGTAGTTAATTTGTTTGTTATCTGCCTTGGTTCCTTGTTGTTTATCGTCTCCAGCTGTCTATGTAATCTTCAGTATTGAGCGGAGACAGCTGCTGAGAAAAGTTCACAGTGTATTGTTAGTCATGAAACGGTAGAAAACAAAGACTTGGCAAAGGGATGTATGATTACTGGATTAAATCACAAGATGACTTCGGTTAGAGAAATACTGCAGGGAGTACTGGGCGGCTGTTTCATCCTAGTTTGGGACTCTTCACTAGTATGCACCCACCAGACTTTCCAATGGTTCTTTAATCGATGTCAGCTCATAGTGAAACCCAGTAACCAATCAATCAAATCTCTACAAAACAATAACTGAAATAGAATATTTATTTGGAAATCGGTATTTCAATATAGCCAAATTATTATTATATTATCATTTCCTTTAATCCCTAGAGGAACAAAAAGCTTCAGCCGCGCGTCTCCATTGCCTTCGATTCTCTGCCAATGTTTTCACTCCACTCCAAGTCTGACCACACGCTTTAATCTCCTCTTCACATAACCTCCTTCAAGTCACCTTTGCACTGACGACCAACTCGCCGCCCTCCTCCCTTTTGGGTTCCACTCGAGCAATGGCTTGTCTAGTGATGTCACTTGATGGTTTCCTCAGAGTATGGCCAGCTAATCCATCTTCATTTCTTCCTGCATATTTGTTTCACAATCGGTTCCTGGTCGGTTCACTCATTACTAGAGATCCCTGTTGCTGATCTTTTCTGACCGGCCATCTGATCTTGAGTATTGAGCGGAGACAACTGTTAATGAAGGTCTGTAGTTTGTCTGAGATGCTCTTTATGACGCGCCAAGTCTCTGATCAGTATAGTAGCACTGACTTCACATTGGATTTGAAAATCCGGATCTTATTTTTGATGCTGAGTGCTGTTGACTTGCACACAGACTTAAGAGTAATGAAAGCTTGTCTTGCTTTTCCGATTCTGGCTTTGATATCCTCGTCAGTTCCGCCTGTAGTTGAAACGACGCTTCCCAGGTCAATAGGTAAAGGAGGTTGTTTCTTTCAGGTTCCTCACATTTATGCTCTTTATTATCCGTTATTGTTGTCGCTGTTGACGTTGGCCGGGAATCTTCATCACCTCTGTTTTATCTATGTTCACTTGAAGTCCTATCTTCTCTGGATGCTTCTTCTGCCAGCTTTTTGTTTTTCACTTGCATATCATCCAGTTTGTGGGAAATCAGACGTATATCATCGGCGAAGTCCAGATCCTCCAAGTTTTTGTGTGAGCCCATTTTATGCCTGTTTCCTCATCGCCCGACCCGTTGTTTGTCGCATTATCCAATCTACTGCAATCATGAAAATCATTGGTGATAGTAGGCAGCCAGCTTATCTTACTCCCGTCCCCACTTCTTCGTAGGATTCCGTAGGCTTCCCGTTTTGGATTACTTGCCATGCATCATTGTCGTATAACTGTTGGATGAGATGTATAATTGTCGATGGCACCCCTTGGTGGTAGCGAAGTAGTTGCCAAATGACCACTCTATCTACGCTGTCGAAGGCCTTTTCAAAGTCGATGAAGTTGAGATAGAGAGGTGACGCATATAGCAAAATAATGTTTACCTTATCTTCAACCCACTACGTGCATAGATCTTCCGTGTTGTGGTACTTCTTGCCTTCCATCATATCGTGTGCCTTTCTTTGCGTTCCTTTCACGTTGTCTCCTATACATCTCCACAACCCTGTAGCATTTGATTTCTCTGACTGACATCAAATCTATCTCCCCGTTATTTGATGTTTTATACCAATAAACGTCTCTTTATATATACTTCTGATAAATTGTACCATTGGAACTCGCCACAGCATTAATACTTTTGTAGCACGTAATGCAAGTCTGTAAACTATATATAGAAGCACAGACTTGATAATTAGTCTTAAACAGAATTCGTATTTCTCTCCTGTATTTTTAATGGCAATAGATTTTCGCAATGAATTCAGGGTAATGCAGACCTGTCTTGCTTTAAATATGCTGTTTGAATATGACAACCTTGCATGTGTAGTCTGTAGTCTGTAGAAAATGTTCTCAAGGTAAGGTAAGTTGAAAAAAATGGCTTCCTGTAGATTTTCTCCCAACGACGGTGATTTGTGTTTCTTTTTCTAGCCGTAGGGAGTGAGGATGCAATTACCACCGATGATATAGGTTGGTGCCAATTGTGCGAAAATCAAGAAATGGTAGAAGTTAGAATTTATGGACTGGTCACTAAGGAGTTGGGTTTCAGTGACTACCAGCTTGCCTTGTAGTTGGAGGGTGCTGGATTCGAAACCCAGCGGTGGGTGCGTACTACTGACGAGTCTCAAACTAGGACGAAACAGCTGACTGTTAAGTACTTCCTGCTGAAACCAATCCGCGGTCTAAGCTGAGAAAAACTGAATCCTTACAAACTAATTCTTCAAAATATAATTCATATACCTGTTAACCAGATTTTAAATGATTACGATTAGTTCGTATTATATTTATCAAAGTATTTTGTGAGAAATTGAGGATAACTAATCCATGAAAGGGTTGGCAACTTGGAAATTTAGCTTTTAATTTAAAACTGATGCCAATAGTTTAATTGAATTTCAGATTTTACTATCGATTGATTTGACCGAAGTGCTCGGTTGCTCAGGTTGACATGTCGGCTTCTTGTGCAGATGCTTCGAAGATGTCTGGGCATTTACTTGATGGACGGTGACTGGCAGTGGAAACCAGGATGCTCATTTCATCCCATATGGGAAACTATGGGCACTGGGTTCGAGCCTCGGTGGGAACATCATCACTCACTGGGTAATGCAGGTACATGCATTTGACGAGTCCCAATTAAGACGACATGCCCATTCTGGCTTCCACTGCTAATCACCATCCACCAATGAAATACTGATGCCCATAATGACTGCAAATCTGACAATTGAGGAGGGGGGTGGGTGTTCAGACAAAATAAACAATATATGAGTAAAGGAATAACAAACATGGGTGGAGAATAACACGGATCCCTTTTGTTTCATCAGTTCTCATCAGCTGCATACAACCTATAATCTTCAGTAAATAAAAGTCAGCGTAAAATTTTACCATACTTTTGTCATCAACAAGCGTATTATAAGAGTGTCATAGTGAGGTAAAACATCAGGATAACAAGGTAGCTGAAGTATTGCGTATATAATTATATATCTTCTTAGAGGGGATATTCTCGAAAATTAATCAACAGGTTTGTTGCTAGGATGGTAACAAAGATTTCTACCATCTACATAGTTAGATAACGGAAGATAGAAATTTGGTGTGCGAAAGGTCAGGTAAAAGGATGGTGATGTAATTTGATGAGTGGAACTCATAAAATCAAGAAAAAAATTATCTCTTATGGAAGTCAAATAGAAATTAAA